TGACTAAATTTGGCCCCCTTGACCTTGGACTTCTCACCTCTATCACTATAAGAAACAAATTTATTTTCTTTATAAATTACCCAGTTTTAGGTATTCTTATATAAGAAACTGAAATGGACTAAGATATCTAAAGCGCAGACAACAAAGACAAAAATGAACAAGTGGGACTATATCAAACTAAAATCCTTCTGTTCAAAAAGGAAAAGGATTAAATAAATTAAAAGGCAATCTATAAAATTGAAGAAAATATTTGCAAACCAAATACCTTATAAGGGGTTAGTATCCAAGCATTTAAATAATACATACAACTCAGTAGTAAAAACCCCCAAATAACCCAATTTAAAAATGGGCAAAAGACTGAATTGACATTTTTCCAAAGAAGGCACACAAATGGCCATCAGGCACACGCAAAGATGCTCAACACAGCTAATCATCAGAAAATTAGAAATCAAAACCACAATGAGATGTCACCTCACACCCATTAAGATGGTTATTACAAAGAAGAAGGAGGTAAGTTTTGGTGAGGAGGTGGAGAAAACAGAACACTTTTACTCTGTTGGTGGGAATGTAAATTAGTGTAGTTATTATCAAAAACAGTATGGAGGTTTCAAAAAAGTAAAATAAAACTGCCATGAAATCCAGCAATACCACTACTTAGTATATAACTGAAGGAAAGGAAATCAGCATCTGAAAGAGATATCTGTAATCCAGTGTTCATTGCAGCATTGGTCATAGCAGCCAAAATATGAAAGTGACCTAGGCGTTTCTTGATTAATAAAGGGATAAAAAAATTATGGCATATATACAGTAGAATATTATTCAGCCATAAAAAAGAAATCCTGCCACTTCCAGCATCACAGATATAAGCCTACTGGGCATTGTGCTGAGTGAAGTGGTCCAGGCACAGAGAGACAAATGCTGCATTATCTCACTTACATGAGGAATCTGAAAAACGAACTCAGAGAAGCAGGGAGTAGAGCAGTGGTTGACAGGCACTGGGGTGTGAGGAAGAGGAAGAGATGTTGGCCAACGTACAAACTTGCACTTGTAAAATAAATACATTCTCTGGATATAACTGTACAGCGTGGTGACTATAGCTAATAATACTCAATTGTATGCTTCACATTTGCTAAGAGTAGATCTTGTGTTCTCAAAGCATAACTACATGAGGTTGCAGATGTGTTAACTAATCTGATTGTGTTAATCATTTCAAAAGGCATACATATATCAAATCATCACTTTGTACACAGTAAATGTGCACGGTTTTATTTGCCAATTATGCCTCAATCACATAGGAAGGATGGAAGTAAGTGAACTAATAAAAATGACACACAGCTTTCCCTGTCTCAAACACTGAAGCTATTCTGGCTTTCTGGGCAGGACAGTGTTGTCGTGCTGTGGCCAACAGCATGGCCATGGGATTCAGATCTCTTGAGTGAAATCCTGGCATGGCTATTGCTTTCCTCTCTGTGTCACCTATGAATCAGAGATCACAATGATATCTACACAAGGGTTGTTGTAAGTATAGTATTGGTGTACCTTACGGGCTAGGAACAGTGAGGGCTCATGCGAAGTGCTCAATACAGTGGTGTTAGAATTTTTAGTTGTGTGCTGCCAGGCCTCAGCTTATAATGGGGAGGGGGAATGTTATTCTTAGGCACACAATCTCACCATCCAGAGAGATGCTCCTTTATATCTGCACCTATATCTGACAGCATCCAAGATTTCAAACCACGTGGCACAATTTACTCTTTTGGGTATTTTCATGTAGCACAATTTGCTCTTTTGGATATATTTCCTGTCTTTGTAAAACAACAGAGAAGTTTTAAAGGAAGACACATTAAAAAAGAGTGTTCATTGAGACAGTGTTATAATTGCTTCTAAGCCATGTCCATGGACAGACAGGACATAAGTTTGATTTAAAAGGAAGAAAATAAATCAGTACTTTATACTGATGTTTCCAATATAAATAAAAATTATAAGTTTTCTTCTTAACTTTCTATATTTTATGTTTATCCACTCATGAAACAAAAGCTGTTCTTAATAAATGACTTTCAAGTTTTACCTTAATGTTTGTATACCACATACATATACATTTGATATCATTGTGTATGCATGTATATGTTGCAATATCCATCTATATACACAAATATATTAATTCTACTATGTATGAATATATTTATATAACCAACCCTGTATATATCCACCTCTTCATATATGAGAGACACTGACTGTATATATTCAACTATATATTTGTGTATTATACATTTTAATCTATTTATTGTATACACATATATATCACATAATGTGTTTATTATAGTATACACATATATTTGGACATAGTTAACAGAATAATTATATCACTATTATTATTATTAATGACAAATGTTAGCTGTTGATCAGTATCACAGTTTGTAGTTGTATGGTAATTTTATTATCTATGTCAACTCTTCATGAATACAGTTTGTGCCTATTTCTGTCAACTATGTGTAAAGAATCTAAATCAATGCCTCACTTACACTAGATACTCAATAATTATTAATTGAATGATTTTTTCACTCATGAATTCCTCCAATGTAGAAATTTGCAACTCTTGTTTCATTTTAGAATCACCTGGAAAGCTTTTGATTATTCACTTTATCAATACACTCGCTTGGGTCCCATCCAAGACAATTAATTCAGAATATAGGAAAAATGGGCTCAGGCAGTGCTCCTTGTAAAGCTCTCCAGGTGATTCAAAGGCACAGCCCTGGGATGAGAACCATTGATCTCATACCTCCCTGAGCCAGCGTTTAACTCCTGCTGAGGGCAGTGGTTGGGCCTCTGTAAGTAACGGAGAGGCTGTTCCCTTGGGCATCTTGGAATATGCACTAGAGGATAAGTTCTAGGCCAGTGCATCCCAACTCTATCACTGTGTCTTCGGCTTGGCCTTCCTGATTTAGACTTTTGTTGGGAAATGGAAAAGTGTACCTCTCTGTACATTCGTGCTAGCCTTGGATTCAGGCCCTCAGATTCCCCATTGAGCAGAACCATTATAATAAGTTGGAGCTGACAAACTTGTACTCAGTCAATATCTGTCTGTCAGAAAGAGAGCTTGCCTGTGATCAGATCCACAACTTCTCCTAGAAACTGTCCAGGAGCTATTAGGCAGTAATGGCTTTCTACTGCCACACAATCTGGGTGGGATTGAGACAAATCCTTTCTCTGGAAGCTCTGTTGGAAACTGTGTTAAATTCTGCCGACTTGTGTTTCTTCCAGAAATGGAAAGTGGGCTTCTTGATTCAGTTTAGTTCTCTACCCTGCTGTGAGAAAGATATTTTGGATATGCAAGTCTGGTCTTCATCTGCACATAATGTTGCAAGGCAGACATTCCTGGGCCATTTTGCAGATAAATATCTGAGGTCAGAAGACATAAGTGACTTTCATACAGTCAGAGGGTTTTTCACTGGAATAGCCAGCATTTGAACTGTAGTCAATTGATTAGTTTTTCAGTTTCTTCTCTTGCTACTACATTCCTTTTCAATCTGTACTAGTGAAGCGATTTGTTAACGGGATAAATATAAACATGGACTTTGAATTCAGATAACTTAGGCTTGAATTCAAGCATTTCCCCTTTCTAACTTTGCTGTCTTGGGAAACTGATGCAACCAGCTTCTCTGAGCCTCAGGAACCTGACCTGAAGGTAAAAGATAATAATGCTCACAATAACTTTGTCAGGACTAAATGTCATAATAAAACTAAAATGCTTAATCACATTTTTGGAACAGAATATTCAGAAAAGGTCATTCGTACAAAAGTTTAATTGAAATTTTCCCTTTGAATCTTTGATTGTTCATTTTACTCTTTAGAATATTATTCTTAAGCAGCTTTCTCAACAAAATAGTGGCACTTGCTAAATTTTAAATTATGAATCCCAATTTAATAGAAAACTGGCGAAATGAGGTCCAATACAACCAACCAACAAACATACAAACAAAAGCTATAAATCAGTCTCACTACTAATGGAGATTAAAATTATACATTAAAGTGCTAACAAATTAAATTTTTTAGAGTGTGAAAAAAAATCTCACAACAACCAATTAGACTTATTCTAGAATGCAAAGATGATTCCATGTTGCAAAAACCTACTAATGTAACCTACTTAAGATATGAATAGAAAATACAGTCAAAAGTAAATAATATAAGCTCTAATAAATCAGTAGATTTCTTTCAATTGTGTGTTTATTTTTATTGACCTAGACAGAGTTTATAATATTTAGTAGATATTAAAATATTAACAGACATCTAAAAAGTTCTTATAAATTAAAATAATTCAAATCTCTTTTTCAGTATTTGTCTACCTATGTATCTATGCATTATAAAAGTCAACATCCAAATCTGATTAAAACTTATCTGTCTAGATATCCAACACCATGTTTGTTAACAACATTTCATGTGAGAGATTAGTTAAGGATCTGCTCCTACTTGACACAGATTTTAAAGGTACATACTATACACTTAATCACAGTTATTTCTAGCTGGTAGAATAACAGGTCATTTATGTTTTTTTCCTTTTAATTAAGTTTTTTGTATTTTAAAAATCAGCCATATTAATTTTCAAGTGAAATTAAAGTTATTGTAAGAAAAATTTAATAAATATAAATATTTTATTATAAAATATGTTTTGATATCTATGTTAGATATGGAAATATCTTGCTCTGAATAAGGTATATAAAATATAAAATAAAGCAAATGCTTCTTATAAAGTAATTTTTATAAAGGCCTCTTGTCATCATCAAAAAAAGATATTGTGGTTTGAGTGAACACCAGCCAGCATACTTTGAATGAGTATTATGCTCTGGAGGTATGCTTACATTAGATTTTCATCTCTCCTCCTAAACCTTTTCCTGAAGACTGCTGTTGGATATGATTTCAGTATTTGCGAGTGCTCACTTTCTTCCATCCACCTATCGTGTAGTTATTTAGTGCTTGGATGTTAGGATTTCAGACATCCTACTTACCAACTCTCCAGTTGAGTTGAGCTGGGCTGTGAATGCCAGTGAGGTCTGAGGAACTGGAAAAAGCCATTGGAGAGAGCAGGGATGCTAGTGGGTCATCACAGTTGTCTAAAAGATAGAAGGAGAGATGGAGAGAAACCAGATTCTATTAGTAAGAAATATTCCATGAGAAGAAAGGTTGAGAAATTAACTACCATCATTTATTAACCACCTGCTCTGAACAAGGTCAGGTACTTCCTGTTTCCATGTGTTACTGCATCTGTGCCTCACAGCAGCCCTGAAAGACAGGTCCAGCTTTCTTTCACAGATGGAGAAAATTAAGTTCAAAGATGTCAAGTAGATTGTTCAAGGTCTCAATGCTAGAAAATAGTGTAGCCGGAATTCTCACCCAGATTTGCCTGACTCAAAAACCCAACGACCTAAACCCAACTACCTACATTTCTTTAGTAAACCACTTGATCAAAGTCTCAGACTATTGCTATTGAGATGATTCTGTAAGGGAGATGACTAAAAGGGGAAAAATTGTTTGACTGCTCTCCCATCTTCAGTCCCTAAGGGCTCACGTGATAATTGTGTCTAGAGGAGTAGGATAATTTAAAATGTCTTACTCCCAGTTGTGTGAAAGTCTCTGGAAAACAATTTACTTATTTATAGAACTTATATCTATTCCATGAAGCAGTAGCAAATAGTCATAGATCTTGTATATCATGAATCTGATATTCACTTCAACAGCTAGCTATCCATCCAACGTTTCCTAAATATGGTAAGTTTTCTTTCTAAGGCTTCTTTGATGATGTCTAAATGTGGGACAGGGTGGGGCCATGAGCAAAGATGCTTGTCTTGACAAAGGAGATATACCCCATCCAGGTTGACCCTGATGTCCTGACCATTCAATCTCATGGAGAGGAACTGCTCTTCACTCGTAGTATACTGTTGCCATGATTGGAATTTTTGTCATTCCTAAAACTCATGATAAGATTTAATGTCATGGTAACAATATTAAGAGGTGAGGCCTTCAGAGATGATTAGGCCATGAGGGTTCCACTATCATTGGATTAGGTTTGCTGCCTTAACAAAAGAGCTTTTAGGATTGGGGTTCTCTCTCTCATTCTCTTGCCTTCTGCCATGTGATGATGCAACAAGAGAGCTCTCACCAATGCCAGAACATTGACACTCAGTTTCCCAGCCGTTAGAACTGTGAGCCAATACATTTGTGTCCCTTATAAATTGCTCAGTCTCAGGCATTCTGTAATAGCACCACAAAACGGTCTAAGACAATTGATCATCTAAGTTTTTTCTACCAATTCACTTATCTATTGTATTTTCCATTGGGTGGCACACACTTTGTGGGGCCCTAGCAATGAATTTGGTACATAACAAGCCTTTGATAAAGGTTTGTTGAAAGAATGGGATGGTGAGCTAATGGAATAAGAAAGGAACGAATGGAAGGCAGGATGGATCAATCAGTCAACCAATTAGTCAACATAATATTGCCAACATTCTTTTCTTATTTTTTGTCTTGTACACATTTAATTTTATAGGACATTTTTCAATGTCTTATAAAATTAAATGTGTACAAGACAAAAAAATTTCATGACTTCATGAAATCTAGACATATGTCATTTAAAACAAACTTAAAATGTGTCTTTTTCTTTGAAGGTAAACTTCATGGTAGTAAAGTCTCTCAGAAAAAATTGGTTTGGCTTCTTTGTTTTTAAAGAGCACTTACATAGGATTATGCTTGTTTATTTAACAAATTCTTAGAAAGCAGTATTTCAGCTAATTGCAGAAAAATTAATTAGAAACATAAGGATTAAATTATTGTTCATTAAATGTGTTAAAAAATTAACTGGCCAAGTGTATTTTGAGTTTTTCTCAAACACAAATATTGAAAAATACTTTGAGGTATTTGACAAACGCAAAACAGAGCCAGATCCTCACTGAGGAAGAGTAACATAAAAATCACAGATATGGTGTCTTGGCAGTTATGGTCATTTGGTGAATAGATCGTACCATTTTTCCTCCGGCAGAACGTGCGGGAGACAGGTGCATACACACCTCAAAGCACTTCTTTAAAGACACACATTTGTTGCATTATTTATATATTAGAAGACAATATATAATAATCACTTATTAAAATTTAATCAACATAAGGCAGATCTTTCACGTGTGTATGCCTGTTTTGTCATCAAGAAACATCAGATGAATGCAGAAAAAAGTAAGCCCCATAGAAACATACAAAGCACACACACACAAACACACACATATATAGCATCAACATGGTGTCTACATTCACAGGTGCATTCTAAGCCTCACCCATCCAGATGTGTAGGTATAACCATCCTCTTATTTCAGGTAACACTCTCTCCACCACTTAACAAGGATTCACAGCTTTTCTGACACTCATTTGCATGGCAAATGGTAGCTCTTTTTAAGGTAAAGTGTTATAGCTATTCCATATAGCACTTATGTATTTATTAGACGTTTAGCATGTATACAACTCTGTTCCTAATTTTATTAGATTTTTATAGTCTTTTATGTGTGACTGATTAAATTTTTTAGTATTATACTCCTAAGCCTACTTCTCCACTAAATCTTTTCTTATAAAGTTTTTATTGTACAATTAGCAATCCATTTTTACAAATGCACATATTGTGTTGTAGCAGAATTGGCTGTACTCCTGTACATGTTTTAAGGTTTCAAGTTAACTCAATCATGCATTGCTCAAGAAACAACTCTGAAATTTATTCTCTTATTTTTCTTTTTTTAGTAATCTTCACGTAAAAATGTAAATTGTTAAAATGATCATGGAATAGTAGAAGTAACTTAATCATTTCAAATTATTTCAGTCCAAAAGGCCACACACAGGGCTTACATCTGCAATCCCAGCACTGTGGGAGGCCGAGGCCAGTGGATCACAAGGTCAGCAGTTTGAGATAAGCCTGGCCAACATAGTGAAACCCCATCTCTACTAAAAATACAAATATTAGCCAGGAGTGGTGGTGGGCACCTGTAGTCCCAGTTACTTGGGAGGCTGAGACAGTAGAATTGCTTGAATCTGGAGGCAGATGTTGCAGTGAGCTGAGACTGTGCCACTGCACTCCTGTCTGGGTGACAGAGCAAGACTGTGTCTTCAAACAAACAAACTAACAAACAAAAAACACCTCTGTCCAAGCAATATTATACAGTTTCCTTTTATGCATATTCTCAGAGAGGCAATCAGGATAGGTTTGGGTAAAATGGAATCTAGACCTCAAGGAGCTCAGAGGCCATTGAGAATATAGATATGTAAACAAACAAATAAACTGATAAGGAAATTTAGGAGACTTTCACTATGATCACGCCAAGCCAGTAAAATTAGAATCGATCAGTCCAGACTCTCAGGCAAGTGGTATTTTTTATTCTTCCAGACCTGTACAGTCCTCTCCATTATAAGGTGCTGACCTCCAGGAGAACTAAAGCTTCCAGAGCCCGTCAGCCTGTGGCAATAACTGCCATTCCCGACTCTCTGTTTTTTTCCTGTGAAAGATGTCTACCTTGTATCTCAGTTTCTAAGGACAGTGGCTATATTTTGGAAATTAGTAAATCTATAAAAAACAATCTATGCTTATGGAAAGATCCAAGGAAGATTTTTCAATGCTTCTTTCCTCATATACCCTATGCATTTAAATAGTGGCTTTTGGGAAACCTATCTTAACTTTTGATTTCCTGCCCCTAAAAGTAGTAAGAATAGGAAAATCTCAAATCTAAAAGGAAGAACCACCCCCCATCTCCCAGAGTAGATAAATCTTTCCCTCTGTCACCTCTGCGTCGCATGAACCACTTTGGCAACCTTGCCTATGTTGATAAAGAGCAAGTCCCTATGAAATTACCCTAGTAAATGGGAATTGAAGCCCATTTATGCCCAATGTTCCATTATTGGAGCACTAAGCATGTGGGAGTTATCTATATCTTACTGCTCAAGGTCATTGCCAAGGTCTGATTGCAAAAATTCAAAAAATTGCAACCTCAGGCACAAATGGGTTAAGTGTTTGATGATAGAACCATTCTAAATTCAGATGTATTATTTTAAATATGTATCAGATTCTTAAAGCGAAGAAAGAATGATCTAGCATAAATGAGAACCATAAAACTTGTTTGTTTTGTTTTGTGATTCTGGATAGGCTGCAATAGTGGAAAGTATACTGAGTGTTAGATCTGGAAGATTCCCGATTCCTAGGTTTGTTTCTTCTCTTGATTGGCTGACTCCAGATAATACATTCAGGTACAATAAACTTTATTTTCACTGTCTGCAAAATAAAGAGTCACTTTCACCACATTCAGCCATAGAGTCATTCTAAAGATGGAATAAGAATAGATGGGAAAATGTCCCCTTTTAAGTATAATGCCCAGAATGAGGATGACAAGCAGTATATGAATTGTATGGTAGTATCTGCTGCGATTGGGAGCAACTATTTTAATGATTTTATTTCTGGGGTCTTTTTTCTCTGCCACAAAACTTGCCCAAGAATTGGTGTCATAGATACCTCTTTCAAACTAAAGGTTTACAACTGACCAGATGAACAGGAGAATGTGAAGTGGAGGGGGCATAAAAAGGGTGAAGACACGTGCGTGCATAAAGATGACATTACACAACCATTCTCTCCTCTGTGGGTCTGCAGCCTTGCGGAGACTGGGTCAGTATCACCCCAAACACATGACTGGGGATCAAGGAAAAAAAATGTGTGCCCCAATGCTCCTGCAGCCTTCAATAAGCAAAGCTGTGGTATTCTTCCATTTCAGTCTCTACACGCATCTCAGACTTCTAATGGTGTGTCCTCACAATGCTAAATCCATCACTTTGTTCATCCAAAAGTATATCTGAATATTCATCAGTTTTAATGTAGAAAAGAAGAAGGGGTGAAGAAACTGACATCTGAAGAAAGGTGTTTGAAATTTAAGAAAAATAAATTGAGACTGAAAGACCTCTCTCATGCCCACTTCCAATGGGACACACAACTTGACACAGATTGTATTGATTTCCCAGGAATCACTTTCCAAGAATGAACCACATTTCACAGATACATTGATCTAGTAGAATATTTTCAAAATGAGATTTTTAAAAGACT